ATTGGAGATTCTGTCCACTAAAGACCCAAAGCTACTCAAACCCTCCTAGCATTATTTAAGTAATGAAGTAATATGGTATATTTACTCACTATAATGTGGGTGCTGAATGCAGAGCATGAGAAAACATATATTTACTCCAAACAAATATAATTTCATTATGAAATAAGTAAATAAGTAGCATCAAAGGAAGTCGACGGTCCAAGCGTCAATGTTGTGGAGCGACTTACCCAAGATATATCGTTGTTTGGAAAGTGTTTGTTGGCATATCCAGTTGTCGCACTTCTCTGCACAAATTATCACAAATTTAAATTATAATGTTAACAGGTAGAAAACGTATTTTTAATAAAATCTAACATAACTAGCCAGAAAACATTTATTAAAAAATATATGTTTGGAAGTTAAATCGACTTCATAGGACAATAGTTTTGTTATATATACTCGTCATTCGTTGACATGCGTTCGCTACTTAAACTACCATGTACTGTACTTATGTAAAATCTCCCATGTCTCTTCGCTCATCTCACCTAACCCTACAGGCTCTGTGAGTCTAATAGGGGGTATAGGTGTTGTGTTAGTTGTCTCTTCAAGTTGAAGTTGAAGTTAGTTGAAGAGACAACTAACACAACACCTATACCCCCTATTAGACTATTTTACAGGAACTTCTTTTCCACAGCTCATAAAACGGAGGAAAGGGTCCTGAAAGATATTGTTAATAGAAACGTTATCCCTACAGAGAAAAATCAGAGGATACAACTGACGATTTACTATAAAACCAGAAAAACGGCCAGCCTACTCATGAGAAACTCTCCAGACACAAAGCAGAACGCTTTGAAAGAGACCAACGTCGTCTATGCCTTCAAATGCCCACTTGAGGACTGTAAGCTCCAAAAAACCCAGTATATAGGCAAGACAACAACATCTCTTTCTAGGCGTTTAACGATGCATAAGCAACAGGGCTCCATTAAGGAACATATAATCTCTTCCCACAACCAAACCATCGCCAGAGAAATCCAAGTAAACAACACAGAAGTCATCCACAGATACAGCGATAGCAGACGGCTTGACGTTTGCGAGGCACTGCACATTAAGAAGTCAACACCAGCAATCAACAGCCAATTAATGCACAACTATATTCTACCCACCTCAAGACTCCGCTCCAATATAGAAGCATCAAGAAATATGGACCAATAGGTTTTCTACAATCACTTCCATTTCAATACCCATTGTTTCGTGTTCTGTCTTGTGTTGATGAAATTAATACCCTATTAAATACCACCTCACCCCATCCACCTCACTCAAATGTAGATATAAACAAATCGGAGATATGTAAGTTCTATTCAGTTGTGTATGTGTAAAGTCTTTGAAAATGTAGTTCAACTTTGAAAAAAAGTTTTATGAAACGCGCTCAAGTGTCTCGTCAGACTAGAAATAAAAATGAATTTTGGAGAATTGATTTTTGAATTACCTCCAACAGTGAAAAGAAATGTACGAAAGATTGTGAAAATTCGTGTTAGAATTATTAATCTTACTTTTTCGGTCATATTTAATAATATATGTCTGCAGGAAAGACTGCTACCAAAATATATATATATATATATACTATACATATGTCGTACCTAGTAGCCAGAACGCACTTATCAGCCTACTATGCAAGGCCCGATTTGCCTAATAAGCCAAGTTTTCATGAATTAATGTTTTTTCGACAACCTAACCTACCTAACCTAACCTAACCTAATTTTTTCCGCTACCTAACCTAACCTATAAAGATAGGTTAGCTTAGGTTAGGTAGGGTTGGTTAGGTTCCGTCATATATCTACGTTAATTTTAACTCCAATAAAAAAAAATTGACCTCATACATAATGAAATGGGTAGCTTTATCATTTCATAAGAAAAAAATTAGAGAAAATATATTAATTCAGGAAAACTTGGCTTATTAGGCAAATCGGGCCTTGCATAGTAGGCCGATAAGTGCGTTTTGGCTATTAGGTACGACATATATATATATATATATATATATATATATATATATATATATATGTCGTACCTAATAGCCAGAACGCACTTCTCAGTCTACTATTCAAGGCCCGATTTGCCTAATAAGCCAAGTTTTCATGAATTAATGTTTTTTCGTCTACCTAACCTACCTAACCTAACCTAACCTAGCTTTTTTTGGCTACCTAACCTAACCTTACCTATAAATATAGGTTACGTTAGGTTAGGTAGGGTTGGTTAGGTTCGGTCATATATCTACGTTAATTTTAACTCCAATAAAAGAAAATTGACCTCATACATAGAGAAAAGGGGTTGCTTTATCATTTCATAAGAAAAAATTATAGTAAATATATTAATTCATGAAAACTTGGCTTATTAGGCAAATCGGGCCTTGAATAGTAGGCTGAGAAGTGAGTTCTGGCTACTAGGTACGACATATATATATATATATATATATATATATATATATATATATATATATATATATATATATATATATATATATATATATATATATATATATATATATATAAATTGTTGCAAGTCGAGCAACAAATATTTTACATTGAACAACAAATGAGATTGGGAAAGCAGTATTGCCACCTCTGCTATACAGAAAAAAATAGACCCCAGACACACCCTGTGGGTAGTAATGGACCCCCCATACCGCCATTATGAGGGGTAGTGGACCCCATAATAACACTATGGGCGGTAGTGGACACAATACAAACACTATGGGCGGTAGTTGACTTCATAGCGACCCTGTGGGCAGTAGTGGACCCCCTGCCGACCCTGTGGGCGGCAGTGGACCCCCTTCCGACGCTGTGGGCGGCAGTGGAACCCCTTACCAACATTGAGGGCGGCAGTGGACCCCTACCGACCCAGTGGACGCCCTACCGACCCTGTGGGCGGTAGTGGACCCCATACCGACCCTGTGGGTGGCAGTAGACTCCATACCGACCGTGTGGGTGGCAGTAGACCCCATACCGTCCCTCTGGGCGGTAGTGGACCCCATACCGACCCTGTGGGCGTCAGTGGACTCCATACCGACCCTGTTGGTGGCAGTGGACCCCATACCGACCCTGTGGGCGGTAGTGAACCCCCTACCGACCCTGTGGGCGGCAGTTGACCCCCTACCAACCCTGTGGGCGGTAGTGGACCCTTTACCGACCCTGTGGGCGGCAGTGGACCCTATATACTAATCCTGTGGTTGATACTGGACCCTATACTCATCCTGTGGGCGGCAATGGACGCCATACACATCCAGTGGGTGTTATTGGACCCCATACCCATCCTGTGGGTGGTTGTGAGCCCCATACCCATCTTGTCGGTGGTAGTGGACGCCATACACATCCAGTGGATGATATTGGACTCCATACCCTTCCTGTGGGTGGAAGTAATCCCCAAGTTTGCAGTAGTTTACCCCATAAACATTCCAACATAACATCGTTTTCTGTTAGCATTCCTACAAAACATTCTTTAAAGATTTTTAAAGTGCAAACTATGGTATATAATATTGATTGGGGAAGCACTGTTATTCTATGTAATTATTTAAAGTGCTTATTATAATTTACTAAGAACAACTAATATTTCTCAAAACAAAACTAGGAGCCTTCAATAGGATGTAGCTGATCTGTAATATTCTAAGAGCATGGACAATAGTAGGTAAATTTCACAACCCACGTGGGACCTGAAAACTACAATTTTCATTATAATTTAACCAATCACGACTATTCTGCTATCTACGTTGATGGACGGGTACTGTGAGACGTAAATTGGTACGTGAGCAAGAGTTTGGGCCTTGGTAAAAAAGGTAACTGGAAATATATCACATATGTACTAAATCACATTCAACATATTGACTTTAAGCATTAAGTCATATATGTGCTGTCTTGTGTGAGAACGGGTTGAAACCTTTGAACCTTTTTCAGTTTGGTCTTATCCTTGACTAGATATGGACTCCATGCTGGGGCTGCATACTCCAGGATTGGCCTGACGTATGGGAGTGCGTGTTTGTATGTATATCTAACTAGTAGGGCTAGCTAATGACCAATCCCGAGGATGCAGGTCATAGAAGTTGTCTAATTCACATATACTGTACCTATTTGCTGCTAGTTGAACAGAAGCATAAGGTGAAATGAAACACTGCCAAATTGTTTCAGCTCCAGCCGGGATATGAAGTTGCGACTGTGACTGTGAATCGAAGCCGTATACCGAAGTATCGTAATCTTCCTCCCTCTTTTTCTTCCCTTAGGTTTCCCGACGAATGCCGCTACGTTTGCTAACAATAGCAGTCTCGTTGATGGGGTGAATCAGACATAATGACCACACTGGATCAGATTCACATTGATAAGTGTGAAAGAAACTTCATTTGATTGTTTATAAAGACTCTCCTTGACTCATCTTAAGAGGTCCATCGGGAAGCTTCAGCAAATAATTTGTAGTATCTAACACCTGCTCTCCACAATGTAATGTGTTCATGGTTGACGCACCACGTCTAACTCCCTAGGCCTGAACAGTCGTGTTGAACCAATACAGATCAAGGTAATCTATAGCAGTAAGGATATTCTGCATTAGAAGGCAGTTTCACCCTGACGGTGGCGGAGCATATTAAACTTGACGTGGTAGGAGGACTCACCTTGATGGTGAGAGAACATTACGACGTGAGAAGGACTCACCTTGATGATGACAGAGAACATTACGACGTGGTAGAAGGACTCACCTTGATGATGACAGAGAACATTACGACGTGGTAGAAGGACTCACCTTGATGGTGGCAGAGAACATGACGACGTGGTAGGAGGACTCACCTTGATGGTGACAGACGGGGTAGGAGGACTCACCTTGATGGTGACAGACGGGGTAGGAGGACTCACCTTGATGGTGACAGACGGGGTAGGAGGACTCACCTTGATGGTGACAGACGGGGTAGGAGGACTCACCTTGATGGTGACAGACGGGGTAGGAGGACTCGCCTTGATGGTGACAGACGGGGTAGGAGGACTCACCTTGACTGGGATGCAGATGAGGATGAGGAGGAGGTCGGCACTGGCGAGGGAGGCGAGGAAGACGTTGGTCGTGGTCTTGAGGCGACGATAGCGGCAGATAGTGAAGATAATAAGACCATTACCGACCACACCCACCACGTACGTCACCCCATATACCACCAGCGGGGGCGCCAGCTGGCCCCAGAAGAAGGTATCCAGCGCCGCATCGTAGTCGTAGTCGTACTCCGTCTCATTTCCGATCCCGCTCTTCGTGGAATCATTCAGCAAGATGTTCAGGTCCCTAGAACCATATTCTGGCTCTATTCCAACCTCGTCCTTGAATGGTTCTAAGTCGAAGCTGGCGTTCCTGCCTATTGGATAATATAGAGAGTCGTTTATGTTGGGGCGGTGGGTCGTCCAGTTGGTATCGGTGGATTCCACGTCGTTCCAGGAACCATAAAGGTCGTTCCAGGCAGTGCGTGAAGAGTTCCAGGGAGCGAAGTAGCCCTTAGACTCCACGATAACTTTCCGAGGTGACAGGACTGGTGCTGAAGATGGGCTTGTCATTATTGACTCTCACATGAGCTGATTTTCATAAATTCAGAAGCTCTTAATATTCCAAACAGCTTGAAAATGTACTGTGTACTGTCCGTCTCCATTCAGTAGGCCTACACTGAGCACTAGTGTTTTTTATAAGGTTTAGTCCTTTGTTCAAAGTCATACAAACTGTTTCAAAATTTCTTTGCCATTTCTATCAAATATTCAAGTACATCTTCACCTCATTTGAAAACCTGAAAATGAAAAAAAACAAGAAATAATAAGAAACCAAAATAAATGAGGTACAGCTGAGAATATCACAAGGAGCTACGAGAATTGTAAAGAGGAAAGTTATCAAAATTTGAGACTTCAGAGTCGGGTACATTCCAAGAAGAACGTCTCCAGGCTCTGCTGAAATTGATAATTAAAACAATATAATCTCCAGTGTTGACTACTAATATATAACCCACAAATTCATATAATATATTATCCTCTAAAGAATTGGAATCTTCTTTATAATATCCTCTATAAGATTTATATTTTTCTTTGAATGCTCAATATGCATAGTTATCCCCCTTGATTTAATGTATGTGAGATAATTTAAACTTATCATTTAATAAGTATTTAACGTAGAAATCTTTGAAATTCTCGGATAAAGTTTTAAATTCCCTTTTCCAAAGGGCCCGTTTTCCAGGATGGTTTGATCCTTAATAAAATTAAAACTGACTTAATTTGTGGTGTGTTAATTCATAACATTGTTATAAAATGACAATAAGTCACGTTTTCTACTCATTTTTCTTTTTCTATAAAAAATAATTATGTATGTTTGTTTGTTTGTGTGTGTGTATGTGTGTCTGTCAGAGATTGGAGGCCAGAGGTTAGTGGCTAGCTTCACACAACTTTCCATTTTGGTTGGTCATTGCACGGGAAAGTCAAGCGCTGGTTAGGGTCGTCCCTAAAGCTCCTATTTAAGGTTGATTGACTCCTATTGCAACATTCAATGACTCTTATG